ACACAAGCTAGCAACGGCTTTGCATTATATTGTCAGTTCGTTTTTCACATTGTAGCTTAAAAATCAGGACAGTAAACTCCTTGAAATGTGTCAAATTGTCACATATCGTGTAAACGTGGCTTCTGACAACTTGGCCTGACTTATTCTATATAATTAGAACTGGGATATAAACTGACCACGAACCAACAGAAAGACGTGCAATCAACCAAAATGATCCGGTTCAGGTCATCGGGTTTCACTGAAATCTGCCCTCTTTAGACATAAAACATTCTTCATTCAGTCACAAGCTTCGCCCCCTAATCTGAATCTTCATTCAAGACAAAGCAGCATTAATTTAGCTTATTTATAATAGTGTTCTCGCAGGTCTTACTTGTAGCTGTCACAGAGCAGTTGCTTGTCATTTTAATTATGCCATAACTAGTCAGTTAACGTCTTCTGCTGCAGCTGTAACAGAAAATTATCTTCTGTAATAAATTCAGATCCTTAAACAAAATCTATAAGAAAATACTGAATTTATATTTGGAAATAATCTGGAATGGCAAAATATTTCAGAAGCATAGAAAATCTCAAATCCCTTGATGTCTGGGCAGCGACGTCCCAGCGTAGTAACAGTCCAGTAGTAATAATAACACACACTTCAGACTGGAATGTGTGATCCAGCACCTGCAGGGAGTTCATCAGTACCGAAAAATCTTTGGTCCCGGCGGCTTCACAGTTCTCCGTGACCAACTTCGTCTTTGAGCCGCTCGTCTTGGTTGGCCTCAGCCTGAGGTTCTTTCATGTTGGCAAAGGCGACTTCCCTGGTGAGCTGCTCCAGCGGCGGGAGACCCACCGCCAGGTTTCGCATTGCAATGGCTGACATCAAGAACCTGGAAGACAAGAAGTCAATGACACACAGTACGTTCACAGACACATTTAGTTTCTGCTTGTGCACTTTCTGTGTTAATGCAGGAACAGCTGACGTGTTGGTGTTGTCAGAGAGGCCAGCACTCACCCTCTCCGTATCGTATAATACTTTTTAACAGCAAATCGTTCCAGCCGCTCCAGCACGCCGGCCTCCCTGCGCTTCTTCACCTCCTTCATGCGGCGCTGCCTCTTCAGAAACAGACGCACAATCGGGTCGGTGGCGTTGACCTCGGCGTCGTCGCCGTCCGCTGCAGCTATTAGAGGCTGCAGCTCAGGAGGCAGAGGCTCGGTTTCTGTGGGGCGAGACCGACTAGTCAGTACTTGATGGACGTTTTCCTGCTTTTAGGCAAAGTTGACATAAGCTGAGAGATGGTCCTGTACTGTGCAAAGACTCTTTAGATGTTTAGATTTAAGTCTGTCATGCAACACCATCAGGAAGCTCTAAAATGTATTCTGAAGCAGGACAATGAGCCCAAACACTCAAAAACTAGAACCGTGTTCAAAAGCATGAAGAATGAGGAGTCCTAAGACAGATGGGACGTCCTCCACAAAGCCCTGATCTCAACATGAGGAAGTTAATCTTGCACTGCATAGAGAGAAAAAACACAGAAAGTCCACAGAATAACTGTGGCAAGTGGTTTAAAATATCTGCCTGCCAAGTAGCTTTAAAAACTGCCCAAGTGTAGCTGGAGAACTGGTGCTGGTTTAAGGAGCTCATTTTATAAAAAAACTCTTCATTGCATTATTTTTGAAAGCATCTTAACCACTTGTAGTCCTTAAAAATGCTTTATTATATATTATTATACCCCTTTATTCTGCATATTCTAACCCTCACGATGTTAACCGCCTGCTGACATGCGGACATGCGGACATGTTCACCTGTTCCGTTGCGAACTCGCTCCTGGAGCTCAAACAGTTTGGTGAAGTTCTCCTGCAGCGCCGCCTCTGTGGTGTTCACATAGATGTACATGTAGCAGGAGGGACCCTCAGACACTGTGTAGACCTTATGATAAGCCCCAGCAGGTACCTGCACACATTCACGTTATGGTAAATACTAAAGTGTGTCAAGTCTAAAACAGCCAAACAGGAGCAGTGATGACGGTGGTGGTGTGTTGCTGTACCTGCATCTGCTCACCAGGCTGCAGAGTGTGGTTCTTTTTCTCCTCCACTACCTCCACACTCACTTGGCCCTGCAGCACATGGATGCTGGTGTTGCCCAGATCTTCACTTACAAAGTTCTCCAAGTGGAGACCTAAAACATAAAATGGTCTCAGTTAGCACAAAGACAAAGCACCAAACTACATAACTATTACATTTCCATCTAAAAGATAAGAAAGAACAAGGAGAGACTTGTAACCTGGGAAATCAGCAATAAAGACGATCTCGGTCTGATTGTCCAAACTGCCTTCAATCTCCTGGAACTTGTTCCTCCAAGGTGAGAGATCCACCAACAGAGGCATCAGCCAAGGGTTTGGTTTGAAAGGTGACCATTCAGCCCTCACAATGTCCACGCGAGGATCAAAGATCCTTCGAGAAGAGTTCAGAGCAAATTTAAAACTCACACTCTTATGATTGTTTCGTTATGATTTTTAGAATATAACAAGTTTTAAAGCATTTTCATCTCAAGCAAAAGACTCTGGTACCTCTGCTGGAAGCGTTCATTGATAGACACCCAGATGTCAAAGTAGATTTCAGGATCAGAGATGTTGTAACGCGGCAGGAACTGATGGAGGCATGTAGCGTACTGCTTCAGCATGTCTCCGTGGTCTTTCCAGCGTTTGCTCTGTGTGAACACCTGCAGCACACAGACAGGACTGTTGTTAGTATATTTACAATCAGCTGAGCTACAGTTGAGAAAAGATCTCAACTTAAACTAAAGGTCAAGTCCTTTAAGAAATCTGTCAAATATAATATTCCATCTGTCATCTACAACTGTTATGCCAGTATTACTTTTCATTACATTTGATTTCAGGTGTTTTAATCACACAAATTCAACAATTTTTCTTCAATGTGCTGTTAAACTGTTAATGTTGAATTCATGTGAGACATACAGTGCATATCAATATAACTGATAAGCTCAATAAATGGAGTTAAAGGAGAATTCAGGTTCTTTAAAATAGGGGTTGTATGAGGCACTACTCCATAGTCATTGTCAGGATCATATATTTTTTGCATATATTTTTGATAATCTCGTTTTATTCTCTTAACCTCGTATTATTATCTTAATCTCTTATTATTATAATCAACATAACTTGTAAACAATTTCAGCACGACAAAACGTCGGTGGAGACAGGACTTGGTGGTTTGTGTCTATCTTTCTCTGTCACAAGCAGGTATCTGCAGGATGCAGGTTGGCAGTTAAAACCACAAGGGGAGGAAATGAAGGTGGTGAAGGTGCTCAGCAGTTGGGTGCTGCGTGGCAAGTGTCTGCACCCACGAGATAGCTGAAGAGGGCCCGAGGACACGGAAGAACCAATCAGCGAGCTGCAACACATTCTGTGCACATCCTCATGTAATAGTAGAACTGGATCAGGGAGAGGCAGTCAGTCAGACTTTGTGCCCTGACATGAACTCTGTTGACGCTAGGGTGAGCAGTTTGATCCAGAGCTCTGTATGCTTATTCAACTTTCTGATAAATCAATACTTTAAGTGAGACCTAAATATCTTCTCCTATTGCTTCATTAAAAAAATGCGCAGGAGCGATCTCACACATAGTTTGATTTCTGGTAGATTGGGATCGAGCTCCGACATCATCCTCCTAAAAAAAAAAAAGGTCCAGCTACAACATTCTACATCAGTTCATTTGTACGCTATATTTGGAATATTTTTTACCACTTTCCCTCGCTGTCAGACAGCTCTTTCCTAAGCTAAAGCTGTTAGAATCGATTTATGTCCACTTCAAAGCCACCAGACCCCGAGTGCCTGGTGTACCGCTGCGTTATTCTATGACTGGTGTTTGAACAAAGATCCAAACTTATTTGTTAAAACAACACCGTGGTCTGCTGAGTACAATCACTGCTTCTGTCAGTGAGTCTGGTGGCTTTGAGGAGAGCAAAGAGGGATGTCTGACAGCAAAGTGAAGTGGGGAAGACATTCTAGGTATATTGGGGGGTGGCTGAGATGTTTTGTTGCCCTGTCCACAGTAGCTCATGGCTTACCTCCCCTGCCAGTACTGAACTGTGTCCCTCCCAAAACCAGGGACATGCCAACTGTGTAGTAATAAAGTGACTATGGATAAGTAATTCAGACAACCTCCCCTCAAAGAAACTGAATCATCTCTTCAACATGTAGCTCATGTACTCCCTATAACTCACCCCTGGGTTCAGATATCCGATTTCACCAGTTTTTCCATCTTTGTAGGTGATCTTCACATGCTGATGGCTGCGGGAGTGAACCATCATGTCCCACGAGTAGCCGTACAAGCCGTTTGTCCAGTTGTTGTAACCCTGGACAAAAACAAAACATCAGGATTAATTAACGCTTATAACCCTCCTCATTTCCCCCATTGTAAATGAACAGTTAACCAAGAGAAAACGACTCTGTTCAGGTTATCAGAGTGATGGAGTAGCAACGGCTTCTGCTGACAGAACCAGTCTAAGCTGCTGTTTGTTGTGGACAAATGACTTTTGACTCTGATTGAGCAACCATGACTCTCAATAGGTGACTCAGAGAAGCTGTTTGCTCAAAATCCCTTTGAACAAAAGATCTCCATTCAGACAGGTAGTGAACAAAAACAAGTGTGCAACTACTACCAAACTGCTTTTGTTATTGGGGTGAAGTGTGGAAGCATTTTATACAGAAACAGTGAGGAGGAGGTACCTGAGTGATGAAGTGGGAGTAAGGCAGGAAGAGCTGCTCAATTATGTAGACAATAGCAAAAACGGCTCGCAGCTTGTGCTTAAATCTCAGTTTTGGAGCTTTGGGAACAGCTGGGGTCTCCTGTTGTTCACGGCTGGTGCTTTGGCTCTCTGGATAAGCGCAGGACGTGCTGGTCTGAGAGTCCGGTGAGGTAAAAGGCAGGACTGGCTTCAGGAATGTCGGGAAATGGCCGAAGAATCTTCTCGGCCAATCAGGGTAGCAAAAAAGAGGGCTGGTGGCCAGCATTGTGTAGGAGAACATCCCTGAGGAGGATGAGATAAGATTAAGGTGAAAATGACAACACATGAATTAAAGGTAGGATTAAAAGCGTTCCTGGCAACACGGATGATATTTTTAATAAAGCAAGACTCACCGATGCTGAACAGCTGAGAGTTCATGCAGTGAAAGTAGGAGACAAAGAAAAACGCATAAGGCCGTGTTGCATCAAAAAACAGCAGATAGCCGGCAGTCAGATCCAGAACAAGACCACCTCCGTGCACCACCAGCAGACTCACGACCTCAACAGGAAGAATCACTCTGGAAAAAAGTACAAATTGATTAGAGAGAGATCCAACAGCCGTTGATTAAAGACGGCTAAATAACACTCACTTGAAAGGATCAAAGAGCCAGTGGTGTGCCAGATATGACATCGAGTATCCCTCCACCCAATCAGCATCCAACTTCTTGATCCCAGCGATGAAGTAAACTAGAAATATCTTTGAGGAACAGCAACAACGGACAGCATAAGGTGACCTGCTCCCACACTGCGTTCATGAATACTTTATAAGTTGAAAAGACGAGAAAGTCACTGATGTGCAAACCTGTGTCCTCAGCAAAGTGTAATTCCACAGAGGCACATGAGCGTTTCTTATCGAAGGTCGCCGCAGTCCATCGATAGACCTGCAAACGCACAAACACACACACACAGAGGTATAAATGACAGAAATTAACAAGCACACACAAACAGCTACACCAGCAAACGCCGCCTCACCAGTATCTGTTGCCATCCATGAGGGTGAGCTGAAATCCAATGAGGCCATACAGGTACGAGTGATTGTTCCAGGCGGTTTTGTCCAGAAAGAAGATGTACCAGTACGTCGAGATGAACATGAGGCAGGAGAGACGGTAGAAACAGCCGAGCATGATGCCCAAGGCGCCTGCAATTAGAAACATAAATGCACAACTTCTGTTAAATGTAAGAACAGCTTCTGGTCGTACCTGAACTCTCTGATTCAGGTCTACGCTCCCTCCCGCTCACTACGCTTGACCAACAAAAACCGCCTGATACAACAACCACAACAGAACCTGAGGTCGATAGCTGGACTCTTCTCCTCTGTGGTTCCCTAAAATCTCAGTCAGACTCTTGTACTAGTTAATTAGCTTGGGGGCAAAGCACAAATTGCATAAGTGCTTTCATCTTTACTACAGTCAAGCACCCCGGTGGAGACTGTCTCTAATAAAATGACCGCATCCGCTCAGACACAAAAAGAGGTGGGGGTCCCTTTGTTCAGCAAGCTTCTGTAAACAGTACTGTGATGTCTGCATTT